TGCCGTCGCTTAAACAGTGATTGATTGCTGTACACATGATCATTCCCCCACAACGGAGATTTGTAACCTGTAAAAGTGGAATTTCATTTTATATGAAAAATACAGACAATTTTGTGTATATATATATAAAAAAAAAAAAAATTAGAGAACTGTTTACCTCATGAACTATCATACTATTTAAAATTCACCTCCTTAATTATTTGTTTGGTAAATTAAGGACCTAAATTTCCACCAATTTACCCCAATTTGTTGGATTCCATTCCATCCAATTTTGTTTATCACAACCCCCATGATTATCTTTCTTTTAAGTAATAAACAAGTTTTTTAGGGGTAAATTAGGTTGGTTAGTCATGATAATTTAGAGTAATTTTATAATAGTTTTATAAAAAAAAAGTAAGAAACAAGTTTTAAAGTGTCAAAGGAGTGAGGGTGCAAAATAAGAAACATGCAAAAACTGAAAGAAGAAAAAAAGCATAAGGAAGACATTAGACGTAATGAAAGCACTAATAAAAAAATAAAACGAAGCATGGAATGAAAATAACCTAACCCTAAAAGTAAAATCTATCGTCTTGAACTAGATAGTACGATGAGATATGAATAGTCGTTCATACTTTTTTTTTTTTTTTTAATTTTATTTTATAAAGGAGGGTTGACCGTTTCTCTTCTTACTTGGAAGCGAATCGAACAATAAACTTATTATACTCACAAGATTCTTAAACTATTAATTTCTTTTCACTTAATTAGGACTAGAATTTCTACCAAAGATTTAGTTTGAAAATTTGAAAATGTTGGCGTAAGACAAAAGTAACCCTGTTTCTGGTGGACAAAGGGTACATATTGGCCACATTTCATTTTCCCAATTTTTTTGTTCGGTTGGGTGAAATGCGACTTGTTTGCTCCGAACCTAGGATTATGCAGTGGAACTTTGTTTCCTCTATTTCCTCAGATAAATGATTGAAAAGGAAAGTCCATATATTGGTATGTTAGTGGTAATACCACAAGATATTGGAGCACCAAAGCCAATTGAGAAAATACCGAACTTCCCATATTTAATATCAAAAGTATTTTCAAAATTTTAATTTCAAGCGATATTATGTATTATATATTAAACTAAAAAATATAAAAAATGTAAACTTAAAACGTAATGGGTTAAAAAGGAAGATCTACTCACCAAGACAATATACTAACAAAATTAATTATTCTTATTAGAACAATTGTGTAGCTTCTTTTTTTTTTTTTTTTTTTTCCAATTTTCACGGGAAAGTTTACTTGTTTAATTAAGAAAAAGAAAGGAGAAATGAAAAAAAAAATAAATACAAAATCGGACTAACCTGAATAACAAGAGGAGGGATATCCAAGAAACTGAGGGCTTCCACCCTGTATAAGAGTTTCCTCCAAGACCTGTTCGGCTTGCTGGAAAGTTCAAGAAAATCCTGAGTAGTGATGTCCATGAAAGCCTCGGCAAATACAGCACCTTCTCCATTGCAGTCAACGTCGAGCTTCTGATCATGGTCAGCGCTCGTCCTCAACCTCCCAGCCAATGGGTAGTAGCCAACGAGGACTTTAGAGAGGGCATGCTTTAGGGTTTCTAAGCTGACAGATTTTTTGAAAAGGTAGAGATATTTGATGGAGAATCTGAGAAACTTCTGGTCGTCGAGATTTGAGAGGTGGAGGCAATGCTTTGGGGTTGGGGAGTTTGGGCGGATTAATATTGGCTGAGTTGGGTAGTAACAATTTGGAAGTTCTTCTTGAGATTTTAACATCTTGTTTATTTGCAGTAGTTGCTGATGGCTGAAGAGAGAGAGAGAGAGAGAGAGAGAGAGAGAGAGAGAGAGAGAGAGAGAGATGATCCAAGACAAGGTAAGTGACAGGGGAGGTCGCTAGCTAAGTAGTAGAGTGGAGAAACAATTTCTACGGTTGGATATGAGGGATGGTACGATGAGATTCCTTTGGGTTAAAGCTAGCAAGAGGGGATGTGTATTAGGGCGTACAATATACCCCCACATCTCAAATCTAATCAAAAAGTCATTAGCAAAGTTGTTATTTGCAAAATTTGCCGCCCAGTGATAAACAAAATCTTAAGCGTAACCAGAAATATATTTTAATTTTTCTGTATCTCTCGATAAGTAATTTGAGGTCCCACACAACATCTTTAGAAATTTACTAGCGCTAATCATGGGATTAAAGTCATACTTCATCAGTACCACACTCAAAGCTTCTTTCAGTCTAATTACTAGTCAATTATGCTCTATAACTCTTCTTAGTTTTCACCTATGCTTTATTTAGCATAAGATATAAAATTTATTATGATTATTGCTTTTAACCGAAATACCAAACACTGATTCAATACTAGTGTTACAAATTCATTCAAATTATAACATGATGATTTTCACTATTATATACCCAATAAGAAATTTTATTTTACTCAAAATCAGTATATTCCTTTGAAATGGTGGCAACAAACGCGCTTGCGTCCATGAAATTATTACACATAATATTCCTCCATTGGACTCTAATAATTAAGCCAAGCTTAGATTAATATTTGATGCTTCGAGATTAGTTAAACAAGATTAATTAGCATTAGATCGATGGGACTGCGCAAAAGGAAAAGGGGACAAGGAAAAAGACAAGACAATGGGTTGGCCACACATCTCCATTCCATATTCGTCCCAAACCAAAGGCATATCTTTCCTTTTAAAGGAAACAAAGACGCCCACCCTTGAAGATGCCAAGATGGAAAGGATAATGTTTTACCTTTTTACCTTTCACTTCCATTTTATTATATGACTGAGGTAAAAGTAAAACGACAACTGATCAGAGCCACGAATTTGTAGAGAAACCTCGGTAAGACTGCATGATTACGGTACCTTTTTCACACCGAGTCGAATCATGATAAGTTGGAACTCATCTTGTAAGTACGTGAGTAGACCTCCTCCATTTTCATCCATTTCCATGTTAACGGGGAGTTACATTTCTTGAAGAGGATTCCTAATTAGGAATTTTAGTACGTCGTGAAATGTATAACGTACAGAAGTTTTAGCTGTTAGATTTTTGGTGAAAGATTCAATAATCAAAATTTACGGTCAAAATCCTCAGTATGTAAAATATACCGAATCAAAATAAAATTCTCATTCTAATTATTAATCCTTATCATTTTCAAATGAGCAAGTGTTTGCCGGTTAATTCTTTATAGAATTCTTGATTTCTTATGAACAAGAGAAAACCTAAGTCTGAAAGAGACAGGTCGGAGCTTGTTGCATTATTTACCAGTAATTGTTGCTGTCTTAGAGGAGTAGGATTTCTCCCCTCCAAATCCTCACCCTACTCTCACTTTCCTCTTTGCCTTTCTCTCTATAAAGAAGTCAGCACAAGATGTTAATGTGGCTATAAGAGGGGACTAAACGAGAGGAAAAATGGGAGGAGAGAAAATATGGATCTGCCTCACAGATGGTCAATTGTAAAAGCAGTCCATAATTTGTGATAGAGAAATCTCAACAGTCCCAATGACACAAAATCTCGAGAATGATTTAGTCTCCCTAGCATTACCCTTTTCTTATACTCAATATGTAGAGTATCATAAACTCAGGACTATAAGACCTTGAATGCGAGATGCATTCTCTTAATCAACTGAGTTACAAACTCGTATTTCATTTCCGTTAACATTGTTATATTCTGAAGCCATAATAAGTAATTACGCATCAAATTAAGAAATTATGAGATGTTCGATTCCCAGGTCGCATGAATGTTTATTACTTCAAGGGATGGACGAAACAAGTTATAATCCATCCAATTTCAGACTCGACCACCTTTATGCTCTAAGAATATCGTCATGCTCATAAAGTTTTCTCTTTCTTCCACTGCGTTGAATGAGAATTCATTCCAGATTACGCGCTTATACTGTTACTAAATCCAACGTACAATCCTGCTTTAGGCTAAAGATTAATTGATTTCCCCCGACAGAAAAAGCAACGACACCAAGCATCAAATTCCGAAAGCAAATGTATCAGTAGAAAATTGTTCATGTCAAAGATAATCAAGGATTTGAAATTCGAGGGCGGCATGTACCTTTTACCGGTAACTTTAGCCCTAGATTAGCTGAATTTCGAATTAGCACTCGATCTGGACGGCATTTCGCCATCGCTATCGGCGATTACTAAACATAAGACCCATCTTCCTAGTTTCCTTCTTTTCACCACTTCTGTTCAGAGGTTTCAGAGATGGTGAAATGGAATCCAGTTCCCCCTAAAAGCCATCAAAACTTGGCAGTATATATCCCGTAATAATAATCTTGTTGGAACCCATTGTCCCAAATTGGCCAGAGGGCCAAAGAGAAAGCAATTTAAATAAAAATACCCCTCTAACCAACATCGAGGTTTTTTATGATAAAACCTCACACCTGACGGATTGGGCAGGTGGTAAAATGGGAACAGTATCGGTGTTGTTGGAGTGGGTCATTGGTCCGTCGATCTGAAAAATTCTACAAATCTCAAGGCACACAACTATCAAAAGGAATTTAACTTAACATTTTTCTTTTCTTGACGCGAGTCGATCGAAACATTCTATACCAAAACTGGAAGCAACAATCAGCTGTCAGCTTACTAGCCTGATTATGACTCATGCATCATATCGATGGGCTTTCAACGTATTCCACTCTCTGCATCACTTGCTGATGTACCAGTCCACACCAAATTGCCATCATGTCATTATAATTTAAATCAACTAAGCAGAAAACATCCCTCAAAGAAGAGGACGAATTCCTCCGTACAGACTTCTGTATACGGCAGCACGCACACAAAAGGTGGGCCTCATGCATGTGGGTCCCACCCCGGGAAACTTTTGTGTGAGTGCTCCTGTATATGGCAGTTCGTACGGAACATTGTCACCAAAGAACTCCTAAGAAGAGATGACTAGACTCTCTCTAGACCTTGTGATTTCTGAGTTATAGTCTAAAAAGGAAATCAGATATGGATGGGAACTTTGGGTGTTCAAGGATGTTCGAGTTCTACCAAATTTCAGATAGTGTGCTTTATTGAGTCAATCATGATAGTACACAGAACAAAATAAAATCTGACTTGGTACAAGTAAGCAAAAGCACCGTGACAGAGAAGGAAAACCAGAACAACATACTAGGTCGATGAGACATTACAACCGGGCGACATAGGAATTTGAGTGTGTAACATATCTCACCCATCGATATGGGTTGTAGCTCTTCGACTTCTTTGTTATATGCAAGTATTTTACCTGCATCAAGACAGATGAGGAAACGGGTATCTTAGAATAACTTAGAACACATGATTATAGATGTATGAAAAGCAGAAAAAGAAAAAAACAGTAAAGCTCATGTTTTACAATACAGATCTGGTTCATGTTGTGTGTTTGATTCACAAATTTAGGTCAGCCAACTCAACTAGGTAGCTAATTTGGAAGCTCATTTTATTTTACACAGCATTCACTAGTAGGATTCCAGTTAGTTTTTTCTTTGGGTAGCAGGTATAATAAACATGTTCCCAGCTGACTGCTGCCGTGAGAGGCATCAACCAAGGCAAGGGAATCAGGGCCTTCCTAAGTATGAAATACGACTGCTTATGTAGACTCCCAGCAGTGTAATGTCTACACAATCTCATGGCATTAATGGAACTTAGAGCTCTGAGTTTGTACCGTAGGTCCACAGCAATGGCCGCATCCGATTAGGTCCTTACAAGGTCAAGAGAAAATCTTACCTGAAGCCTTGAAGAATTGAACATGGGTATTGTGAAGGTCATGCTAACAGGTCCAGCTTCTTTGGTAATATTTCCTGCATTAGTACACGTACACAATAAAGTAGCATTCACACATCGGTTTCTTTGTTTCTCTCTGACACATAAACAACAACGAAGATTATACAGCATTACACACTCCCAAGCATAAAACAATGTATTACCATGTGATTCTTGTGAAAATGTCAGCTTTGCGTGTAATGTATGTTCAGATCCACCAACAATCTACAATGCAAGGCACCTGTTACTAATTTCAGACATTGAAGCAAACTAATAGCAAAAGTAATATGCAACTCTTAACAAATCTTTCAAAGTAGAAGAATGAGAAAGATGTTTATTGAGAGGAAAGGAAATCCTTGCCTTCTTTAAACCCCATTCAACTCTTTTGTTTGCTTCCTTAAAATCAGTTGTGTTTCCAACTGCTCCAGGTCCCAACTCAAAACTAACCCTAATGTATCCCAGATCAGACAAGATGATTAGTAATGCAGACATGGAACCCGTATTGAAATTAAGTTTTTCCCCCATCATGTATGTGGTTACCTGCTGAGTAACATAACACACAAAAATACACGACATCGAGCCTAGTTTCAAAGAAGTTCATCCAAATTTTCTAAAAGCTGTCACAAGTATGAACTGAAACGTAATAACTAGTGTGTAATATAGAAGGGCCAATTCCCCGCAATATATTATATTAAGGCGGAGAAAAGAAAAAAGGAATAATTCAGGAAATGGATTGTCTGCCCAACTGCAATTGCTCAACTGTTGTTGATCCTGTGTATAATAATGAACCCTACTTGAAAAAGTATCAATGTTTACTAGTTGAGTATACTATAGGTCAAATATCTACAAACAGAAGTTAACCAAATAACAACTAAGTCTATGCTCTTCAGTCAACCAAAAAAAAATATACAACAGCTGACCAGAAGTCTAACATTAATTTTGCTCTAAGGTATGCAGATGCACCACGTTTTCACCAACAGAAAGTTACAAGATTAAACAAATTACCTAGTTGTATATGGTGGCAGTGGAATCTGCACAAGGATTTTATCTGCAATAATGCTTGAAGGGAAATCAGCACGCACTTTAATAATCACTCCAGCCTAACAAAACATAACATGATTTAGATGGAATCAGATGTTACTATTTTATGATAGGAGGAATTTTTTAACTTTTTTCTCACCTTAAGCGGTCCTGCTTCTTCAATTAACGAATTAATACGAAAGGGAGGCTTGAACTCCTGAGTGATGCGGTAATTCATGACTGGAAACTCACCATCTGTTGGTACCTATTAAACAGTGGCGCAATCTATTAACTTAAGCTCTAACAGAACAGTAGTTATATCTCCATCCTCAAGAAGTACTGCACACGATTATAAAGTACAAAGTCTCAATCAGACTCACCAATGAAAGTGTTCGGTCAACATCGAAACTATCGAGATGTACAGATTCATGGAAATTACAATCGTCCAGTATAACAGCCCCTGTTCCTAAACCATAATCTGATGGAAAAGGCAGCATAGTCAGATTAAGAGGACAATGCTACTAATAGTACCAATATCCTAATCTCACATATCTCACTCAAACCCAGCAAACTATAAAAGAAAGACAGTTAACGAAGACTACCGACATCTTAAAAGCATTTTCTATAGTGGAAAGATTACCATAGGCTGACCCTCCACCTCTTCCAATACTCACTTCCTCATTAAGAGCCAGTCGAATTTCTGGATTGCCTGTGAGATAACTCTTCAATTGGATGGTACCATCAATCTCAGAAGTAAGTATATATCCCTGCAAGAACAACATAATAGTAATCAAAACAGCTCAAAATTGATTACCACCTGGGAGCTGTGACACTAACAAGAAATTAAATATGGCGACCCAAACACAAGAGGTACTTACACTGGAATTGAATGTAACACTCATTTTTTCAATTATGTCCACAAAAATTTCCTCTCTCTTTCTACCTCCACGCTCATTTGCAACAACAGATTTTGCGATTGTAGTTACTGGCATTCTTTTAGCCTGATACCAACATGCAAGTTTAGCAAGTCAATCAAACCATACAGATCAATCAGAAACAACGAAATACCACCACCAGAAAGCAAATTATCATATAAATAATACCGTAAAAATTCCAGCAGAACCCAGAGGCAGAAACTGCGCAGGATCAACCACAACCGGCTCATTGAACACATATGACTTCAAAAGCTCAGTCGAAGTAGTTTGCACATAACCAAAATCCTGCCATAATTGACAACAGGTAAGCCAGATTACATACACATAGAGTCACAAAATGCAGGACTTTGAAGACACTCACAATGATTTGGTCCAGCAACTCGTACACAAGCACGAAATTTTTTCGCAGCGATTCTTCACTGAGGACCCCGAGGTAATCTTTAACGACTCTAGAAATCCTTCTCAAAAGTTCCAAAACAAGAGAAGGCGACAGATTCACTCTCGTCGTCGCAACAAATAACAACCCAGCATCTTTCACATGAAAGTAATTTACACCGTCCACATTCTAGAACGAATTAATTAAAGAAAGTCAATCATGAAAAATTGATTAACATCTCACAAATGCATTAATATAAATTCTTCTAAATAAAGAAAAAAAAATTGAAAATACCTACAAAGACAGGTGGCGCGTCGCCGTCGCCGTCGTCCTTCCAGAATTTCACTTTCCGGAAGAAAATCTCGGCGCTTCCCTTCGGCACTTCGCCGCGATCTGCATCAAATTTTGAAAATTTTGAAAATTTGAAGCCTGAAACCCTAGAAATGCAAAACTTTGAAGAATCGGATGAAATGCGAGCGAGCCAGAGTGAGACTTACAGTCGCGGAAGACGATGTTGTCGCCCCTCTGCGAGAGAACGAAGAACTGAGAGATCATCGCTGTGAAAGCTCGAAGCTTTCCTTTTCGGACTCGTGAAATTTGATCGCTTTGATTACACGAATGCAGAGCACTCGCTCAGTCTCCTCTGCGTCTCTGAGTGTCCGCGTGGAAAGCGGTTGGACCTTTACGGGTGCCGAGTCGTAACGGAAACCAACGTTTGGGGCCGCGACTATCGATTTTGCGCCACGTGTTAAAAGTCACGAGTCAATCACGTGACTCTGAATAAAAATAAAAATTATTTAAATTTGTTTCGCTTTCATAATTTTTGTTTTATTTCCTCTTCCACTTACCCTCTCGTCGTCACGTCTCTTCGTCTCTCAATTTTTCTCATATATCAAATACCAAATATTTATGATTGTATTGGGTGGTATTTGCAGTCGATTGCATAAGAGCAACTTCACTGTTGCAAATGTTCTCCGGGTTCTTCACTGTTTAATCCATTTACTGAACAGTAACTACTTTTAATAAACAGTAACTACTTTTTGCATCTCTACATTTATAATAGTTCTGGCAATAGACAATAAAATATTAGTATTTTTTTATTTATAATTAATATTATATTATTAATTTATCTCAGTATCCTTCTCATTCTTCCTTCTTCTCTATATATTTGGTTTTGCTTCTTCTTCAATTATGCATCTTCTTTTTCACTTCCTTCTTCCTTCTTTGTTTGTTTATCGGAAAACTTCTTCTTTTTTTGGTAAAAGGAAAACTTCTTCTTCAATTATGCATCTTCTGCATCTTCTCCGACAACCATCTTTGAGGAAGTCACGACGCCGGTGTAAACACGAGAAATTCCTGAAACCAGAGAGACAAGAATACGTGTACAAAATATATATTTTGTATTAATGATTTTGGGGTTACAATCTCTTTGTAATTTGGTCCTCTGATTCTATCTTCGTAGGGTGTGGGTTTGTGGATGAGTTGTTGATCCAAAGGGCCGTCGGGGCTTGATCTAAGGATGCACAGTTGATGAATGGATCTTCAAGGGGCGTTGGGCTTGATCTTGAAGGTTGATGGATGAACGGATCTTCAAGGGCTTTTGGGCTTAATCTTGAAGGATGAACGGATGTGTGGATTTGTTGAGGTTGTTGATCCAAAGGGGCCGTTGGGGCTTGATCTTAGGATGAACGGATCTTCAAGGGCTTCTGGGCTTAATCTTGAAGGATGAACGGATGTGTGGATTTGTTGAGGTTGTTGATCCAAAGGGGCCGTTGGGGCTTGATCTTAGAATGAACGGATGATGAGCGATGAACACTTTCTTCAAGGGCCGTCGGGGCTTGATCTTGAGTTGGTGGAAGTTCTTCAAGGGCCATCGGGGCTTGAATCTTGAAGAACGGATGATGAACGATGAACACTTTCCTCAAGGGCTGTCGGGGCTTGATCTTGAGTTGGTGGAAGTTCTTCAAGGGCCGTCGGGGCTTGATCTTGAATTGAACGGATGGATGATGAACACTTTCCTCAAGGGCCGTCGGGGCTTGATCTTGAGTTGGTGGAAGTTCTTCAAGGGCCGTCGGGGCTTGATCTTGAAGGTGGATGATGAACGATGAACACTTTCCTCCAGGGCCGTCGGGGCTTGATCTTGAATTGAACGGATGGATGATGAACACTTTCCTCAAGGGCCGTCGGGGCTTGATCTTGAAGGTGGATGATGAACGATGAACACTTTCCTCCAGGGCCGTCAGGGCTTGATCTTGAAGGTGGAAGTTCTTCAAGGGCCGTCGGGGCTTGAATCTTGAAGAACGATTTGACGAAGAACGAAGAGTGCTTTCTTGATCCTTCGGGATTTGCTTGAGAGCTTTAGAGTTTCAAGGCTTCTTTCTTTCTTCCTTCCTTCTTTCTCCTTCTCCTCCCCCCCAAAATGAATGCCTTGGCCTCCTATTTATAGAATTCCAAAACTTGATTTTTGGATTTAAATAATCAGATGAAATAAATCATTTCTGCCAGGTATTGACACGTGTCATATTTGATGACTTTTCCAATTTATTTCGATTTTTCGTTGAATCACACGCTACATGTAAAATTTATGTGACACGTGAACGTTGAAATTTTAATTATTGGTCAACATTTATTTCACCGAAATTTTGATGTCTACAAATGCCCCGACTTCAAGGCGCGTCGTAGACATGTGCTTGTCACGTGTAGAAGATGCGTTTTGAAGTCCCTTAATGTAGATGTCAACCCAAGGGCCGTCGAGGCTTGATCTTGAATTGGGCTGGAAATTTCTTCAAGGGCCATCGAGGCTTGATCTTGAGTTTGACTGGAAGATTTTCTGGTTTCCTCCAATCGTTGATTTTCCGCAGGCTTAATCTTGAACTGGGCTGGAGGATTCTTTTGGTCTCCTCCGAAGGTCTGAACTTACTCCTTTGATCTGGAGTTGAATTTGATTCAAAGGTGGTGAACACTTGATTTTGAATCGGACTTGTGATTTCTTCAAGGGCCATCGAGGCTTGATCTTGAACTGGGCTGGAGGATTCTTTTGGTCTCCCCCTATCGTTGATTTTCCTTTGTGCTGCTCTTGAACTGGGTAGCAGGATTCATACACATGGCAGGCAAGCACGAGGTGGAAGTGATGACCTGTTTCTTTGTTCAATCTTTCCCCAATTCGTATTGAAGAGGGTAGATCGGAAAACTGACTCCAAGTGCCGTCTGATTGCTCTTTTCACTTTGCCATGCGAGTAATAACAAGGACAAAGGAAAGGACATGGAGAAAGCATGATATAAGATACATTTGCTTTTGAAGAAGCAGGGAATGAATCAGCACATATATTTGTTGTGCTTGTCTCCACATGCTTTGATGTATCATTTTCACTTGTCTTACTTGCTCCCTTTGCAGAAGTGGTATTTCCTTATGCAGGTTTGGCATCTTCTCGTGTAGTATTCGTCCTCTGATGCAGGAGTTGAATGCAACCTTTGCATTTAAATGGTGCTTCAAAACATTACTTCTCAGCGACGATGAGTACTCGAGAGCAATGCAAGGTAAGCAACCAGGCAAAGGTTCCAGGCAATCAGTTCCAGGTCGGAAGTTTGATTTCAGGTTCCGACTGATAACTCTATTTCCCCTTTTCCTGCATGTAAGAGCAAGGACAAAGAAAAGGACAGGGAAAAAGCATGATATGAGATACCTTTGCTTTCGCCCTTGATGATATGAGATACTTTTGCTTTTGAAGAAGCGGTGAATGAATCAGCACATGCTTCCATCTACCGTTTCCTCCTGGGTCATCTGTACTCCAGGCATCTGGTATCATCTTTGGGGAAGAGGAAAAAATTGAGTATTTTGAGATGTTTTGCTGGGAGTGTACTCTCGGAGGTGAGGAAGAGTTGGGCTTTTTTTCTTGTTTGCAGGTTTGCCTTGCCATAAAAGATGAAGGTCGACATATATAGGGATTTCCCAATAGGAAGTGGTGGTACTGTTCTTTTACCCTTGTCGACAAAGGTTTTGATCCCGCAAATTCGGCTTTTTGAAATAGTGACGACTCTTCGATCTTTGAATACGCCTCTTTGATTTCTGAACGACGCTTCTTCGATTTCTGAACGAGCGTCTCTTTTGACAAAGTGGCACGCGTTTTCTGAAAAGCAGAGAAAGCGTCGCCGAACTTTGCGCTTGTCAGCTAAAGATGTGTAGCTGCGATGATGACCTCCACGTGATCTTTTGACAAAGTGGCACCCGTGCTCTGAAAAGCCGCGAAAGCGTCGCCAGCCTCCACGTGTTTTCAACTTTGTCGGAAATCTTTTGACAAAGTTGAACGCGTTTTCTGGAAAGCCGAGAAAGCGTCGCCTAACTTACGCCGGAAAATCCAGCTTTTGAGATTTGCAGAGCGATGTCTCTTCACTTTTGAACAAGCGGCCCTTCGATTTCTGAGCAAGCGCCTCTTCGTTTTTATAGAGGTATTGATCACCTCTAACATGTACACTTCGAAGATTGCTCATTCCTGAAAATCATCTCCGGCCTTTTGAGTTTTAACTCCATCCACCCATCTCTTTTAACACCTTTGAAAAATGGCTAACCCATCGAACCTTAGCTTAGAATTGAGTCTCAGCAGTGATCCGGTTGCGCCGCTTCAAGGTAATGTATGGTGTCCTTCTTTCTTATCTTCTAACGGTCCTCTTACAGGTGAAGACTCCGTGATGCAGGACGCCACAACAGCTACAATAGTAGCTAGGAACCTCCTTACTCCAAAAGATAGTAGGCTGCTGTCGGGACGGTCCGATGAGTTGGCCGTTCAAGAGTCCCTCGCTCTTAGTGTTCAGTGTGCGGGCTCTGTGTCCAACATGGGCCAACGCCTGCTTGCTCGGTCCCGTCAGGTGGAATCATTGATGGCAGAGGTGGAAGATCTTAAGCAGGAGATTCAACAGCTTAAGTACGAGAATAGAAGTTTGCATGTGCTTGCAAATAACTATTCGTCGGGCATGAAGAGGAAGCTTGATGAAATGCAAGAATCTCAAGGTCGCATTCAAAGTGACCGTCAAAGGCTTGCGTCTTTCTTCCAGAGGCACATTTTTCCGGCGTCATCAAGCGTTCCACCAAGTATTGGGGCCTCGAATGATCTATCTTCGGTGCTTCCCGCTCCTGGAGTTTGGCCGAGTAGTGGGACTTCACGTGAACGACCTTTGTGAAGGGTCCATCTTCCTCTTTCTTTGTTAGATACATTTTTTTTTTTTTTTTTTTTTTTTTTTCGCACTTGTAATTTCTCGAAAATCAATGAACATGCTTCGTTTTATTCAGTGTATTATGCTAAATACTGATAAAACATATACATCACTGTCCATCATCAATTTTTTATTCATTTGTTTGCTTTCGGTGGCACTGATCCACCATTCATTTATATATATATATATATATATATATATATATATATATATATATATATTTCAGATGGTGCCAGAAGCACCACCATTGTTTTTTCCTTTCTTTTTATTATATATATATATATATTTTTTTTTCACATGGTTCCAGAAACACAATCATTGTTTTTATTATACATATATATATATATATATTTTTTTTTTCTTTTTTTCTATTATTCTTTTGAAAGATGCTTCCAGCATCATCATTGCTGCTTTTTTTTTTTTTATTATTCTTTTGAAATATGCTTCCCGGCATAATCATTGCTACTTTTTTTTTTTTTTTTTTTTTTTTTTTTTTTTTCTTTATAAGGCCATCTGCAAGGCTGAGTTCGTGGGTGAAAACCCAGGCCGGGTCCGAGAGAAGACGGAGGAGATCTTTGGGTGTGAGTTGACAAACTTTGATTTTGTCAATCACATTCAAAGGCAGCAGCAGAGGCAAGCAGACGGATGAGATCTTTGAGTGTGAGTTGACAAACTTTGATTTTGTTGATCACATTCAAAGGCAGCAGCCATGGTGGAAGTGCAGAAGCAGCCAGAGCTTGAAGTAGTGCAAAGCGTCGAGCTTCATGATCGGCTAGTCGTTTGACAGCGGTCACTGAAGTTCTTCGCTGATTTTAACCACGGTGGCCAGAGTGAAGCTGAGGGACTTGCAGGCACTAGGTGATGAGCTGTTGTTGGCGAGATCTCAGTTGTTTTTTTTTTTTTTTTTTTTTTTTTTTTTTTTTTTTGTAGTGCTGCAAATGTCTCCATTGGTGGAGATGAAGAAGGAACACTCCGTGGGAGGAGTTGACAGCGGCAAAGACAGCAAGGATGGTTGCTGCTGCTGACGGTGGAGGCGTTGACGGGCAGCGAACAAGCTACTGTTGGAGTTTGCTACAAGGGACACCGCTCGCTGTGGAGGGAGTGCGCTGGAGCTTGTACCTGTGCAGCTTTCATGGCGTACATAATCTGAAGCAAGTTGCTGTCTTGTTGGTCAGAGACGAAGATTTTGACAGAGAAGTGAAGAGGCCGCCTGTGAAGTTGTTCGAAAACAGCATCGGCTTAAAGAGCCAGCCAAAACTCTCGAAGTCAACTTCAACTTGCATTTGATGATGATTGTGGACTTCCATGCACCTGTTGCCGCTGTGCTGGTGGTGGTGTTGAAGTGGGATACCATACGCGTGCCATCTGCTAACCTTAGCTGAACAGAGGTCGACGGCAATGACTGATCCACAACTAAGCCCATTGAAGGCAATGGAGCGCCTGTAAGGGGAGGAGCGGCAGCAGTTGACTCAGTGGTAGCTGCTGCAGAGGTGCTGCCACCTAAAGTTCTTCCAACACCCTGAAAAGCAACATGCCTCTTCACTGGTTCAGGATATTCTTCATCCCGCCTAGTAAGATTAACATGAACAGCAGTCCTCTTATTGCCTGGTTCAAGCTCTTTCGGGCACTCGGACTTCTTGATGCTTTCCAGGAAGGGTGCATTTTCGGGATCATCCAGCCTCCGCAAAGGACCATCATCTACAGAAAACCCATTCCTCCAAAAAGTGATAGTGTGAACGATAGTTTCAGGTGGCTGAGGAGCAGCAGTCGGGACGGACGAGCTGGAAGGGGTCGCCGGGGTTGGTACTTGAACGACACGTCGTACTCGGAGAGGGAGGGAGTCGACCCAGGTGGCGAGGTTGGAGGGGCTGTAGAGGACAGCGTCGGAGGCGAAGATGCAGTTGGTGTGGACGAGCGGTGGAAAGTGAACCCCATTTTTGTGTCGGTCTAAAAAAAAACACTGGTGAGGGTTGAAGATTAGCTGCTCAAGTGCTCAACCTTTGCGATCTGCTCCGGAGTACCCATGAGCTCCACCATCCTCTGAAGCTTCTCCAAATTCCCGTATGCAGCTGCCGTGTACACGTCGTTTCGCAGACTCTCTTCCCCAATCCCATTGGCTTCGCCATTGTTGTTTGCTGAATTGGCTGATGCAGATTCGCGATCGTGGGTTTGGAAAGACGACCCGGAAGTCAAAGTCAAAGGGGCTCGCCGGAGAAAAGATCGCCCTGCAAGTAAAGGTTACGATGAGTAACGCAGGCAGAGAGATCTGAAGGCAGAGGACCTCTTGAAGCGTTGAAACGGAGACTGAGAGTGCGGAGACTAGTCAGATTTCCGAAAATGCCACTAGGGATTATGCCGGAGAGACGTCGTTTAAGTGTTTCGATCTCGAGGAGGACGATGTGCTCCTCCTCCGCCTTGAATCGAGCTTCGCCGATGGACTTGACGAGGTCGAGGAAATCCTTGGATTGGCCGAAGCCGCCCTGGGAGCCCATCGCGAGCTCCCGGCCGATGGTATTGAGCTGCTCCATTGATGATTGAGGGTTTGAATGGAGAATTGGGGGTGATGGGTGACTGCGAAGAGAGAGAGAGAGAGAGGAAGCTGGAGCTTTTTTTTTAGATCTGTCGAATTGCAACTATAATTGCAATACTGTAGTTAAAGATCCGAGCTTTTTTTTTTTATTTTTTTTTTATTTTTTATTTTTATTTTTATTTTTATTTTTATTTTTATTTTTTTGATAGAGAATATAGTAACATATGTACTTTTTTTTTTTTTTAATAAAGAAAATTGCTTTTTTTTTTTTTTTTTTTTTTGAGTAGAGAATATAGATATATTTACATAGTAACATATGTATATTTTTTTTTTTTTTTTTTTTTGATAGAGAATATAGTAACATATGTACTTTTTTTTTTAATAAAGAAAATTGCTTTTTTTTTTTTTTTTTTTTTTGAGTAGAGAATATAGATATATTTACATAGTAACATATGTATATTTTTTTTCTTTTTTTTTTTTTTTGATAGAGAATATATATATATATATATATATATATATATATATATATATATTCTCTAATACATAGTAACATATGTATTTTTTTATTTTTTATTTTTTCTTTTGAAACCAACAACATGTAATTTTTTTGTACAAAGAACGTAATAATATTGACTTTCTTTAATGAAACATTTATTTATTTATTTTGATGTGACTGTACTTGAAGTTTTGAAGTTTCAAGTTGCCTACGTACCCTTGGTTGAGGAGGGATCAAGTCATGACGTAGTTCAAATGAGTGATGATTTTGATGATGATTTTGATGATGATTTTGCCGTACACAGTTTATGCTTTTGCGGGCCAGGAGCTTCTTGGTGCCGTTTGCATTTTTAGCTCATGCAGGCAAGGAGCGTTTGTTGTCGCCTTTTATGCTCGTGCGGACAAGGAGCTTTGGTTGTCGCCTTTTAGGCTCGTGCGAACGAGGAGCTTTGGTTGTCGCCTTTTAGGCTCGTGCGAACGAGGAGCTTTTGTGAATTTGTCAAATGATCTTAAAGGGGCATTCCTTGCAATCTTCATAGCAAGGAGTCTTGACTGAGTGATTGAAGAAGTCTTTGGGGAAGAAATCGCGCATTGTGATGGCAACGGACGATCTTTGTGTCATAACTTCATCATCCTCAACACTTTCATGTAGCTTTGAAGGTTGACGGTAGCTGCTTTGCCCCCTTTCCGATTGGTGAACTTGTGGAGGAGACCTATGTTTCTTGTGCATTTTCTTTGGAGTGACATAAGTCCATCCTTCAACTTCACTTGACTTGACTGACATGGTTTTGGAGCATGCCCCCAGCGGTTGAGGTGAAGATTTTGAGTTCAAAGAGCCAGAAGTGACGGTGGTATAATTTGTCTTCACCACATCATTAAGATCTAGCTCGATGATCCCTTTCTGAGCCAACTTCATGATGAGATCTTTTAGCACAAAGCACTTTTCCGTCGGATGACTAATGAAGCGGTGGAATTTACAGTACCTTGGACTGTCAGTACGGTTCATATCTTCTGGCCGTTTGCACTCAGGGAGGTTGATCACCTTTTTGTCAAGCAAGTCTTTCAACATGGCAACCACATCAGAGTCGGGGAATGGATAAGTCTTCTCCTCAAGCTCCTTCAAAGTGCGTCTACGTATCTCTTGATCACGAAAAGCTTCGGTTTGAATCGCCTTGCTTCGTGTAGGGATTTTGACTGGAGTTGTGTTGATCGTCATTGCTTCCTTGGTGGGTTTCCACGTAGCCTTATCCACCTTTGGCCCCAAAACTTTGTCATTCTTGTAGTCGGCGATCTGTTCTTTCTTCCCATGACGGGTGATGCTTAACTCCATATCATGGGCGCGGGTGGCTAACTCCTCGAATGTTCGTGGTTTGATGCCTTGAAGGATGTAGTGTAGTCCCCACTGCATGCCTTGAACGCACATCTCAATGGCAGAGGTTTCAGAAAGCCGATCTTTGCAATCCAGACTTAGAGAACGCCATCTATTTATGTAGTTGACGACAGGTTCATCTTTCCACTGTTTCGTGCTGGTTAGCTCTAGCATGCTTACAGTACGACGAGTGCTGTAGAAACGGTTGAGGAATTCCCTTTCTAGCTGGTCCCAACTGTTGATAGACTCAGGTTCGAGGTCAGTGTACCAGTCAAAAGCGTTACTTTTCAGCGAACGCACGAACTGTTTGACGAGGTAGTCTCCCTCTGTCCCAGCATTGTTGCAAGTCTCAATGAAATGGGCGACATGTTGCTTCGGGTTGCCTTTTCCATCGAACTGCATGAATTTTGGGGGCTGATAACCCCTTGGCATCTTCAAAGCATCAATCTTCTTGGAGTAAGGCTTTGAGTACAGTACGGAGTCATGCGAGCTTCCTTCGTACTGTGTCTTGATAGTGCTTGCAATCATCTCCTGTAGTTGCTGGATAGAGAGAGATCCCATGGATGTCGTGGCTTGGTCTAGCTTCGGCTTCTCTTCGACTTTCTCCACTGGTGGCTCCTCCTCTTCGTCGCCTTCTTTCTTTAATAGGCCAACAATTGGGTCGACTTTCACGTCGAGCAGCGCATCTAGTTGGTTGACAAGTGCGGCAATCTGCAAGTCTTTCTCTTCCACAGTTCGTGTGAGCTTTGCGATTGCTTCATTCATCTGAGATAGCTGCTCCTCGATTGAAGTTGCTCCAGTGGTCATGACTTGCATGGTTGTACTGCCGCTCGAATCAGCGTCAGAGAGTAGGGACTCTGAGTATTTCTTTGGGCTCTCCCCTTTTGATGCCCTTAGCGAGGCTAGGGTGATCACAGGCTCGTACCTCAGGTGCTCTTGTTCCTTTGACAGAGTTAATGCAGGGGCGGAAGCTGCGGCAAAAAGATCTTTTGCCTTACTTCGGGTTATGATGCCCGAAATATCACCACTTGCGGCGATGATGTTCTTGTTCTTTGCTTTGATTGCAGGAACAGCTTGATCCTTTCTTGATGCCATTTGCGTTTTTCGATGATTTGAGGATAGAGATGAGAGGTAGAGATTGTCCCACTGGGCGTGCCAAATTTGTAAACACGAGAAATTCCTGAAACCAGAGAGACAAGAATACGTGTACAAAATATATATTTTGTATTAATGATTTTGGGGTTACAATCTCTTTGTAATTTGGTCCTCTGATTCTATCTTCGTAGGGTGTGGGTTTGTGGATGAGTTGTTGATCCAAAGGGCCGTCGGGGCTTGATCTAAGGATGCACAGTTGATGAATGGATCTTCAAGGGGCGTTGGGCTTGATCTTGAAGGTTGATGGATGAACGGATCTTCAAGGGCTTTTGGGCTTAATCTTGAAGGATGAACGGATGTGTGGATTTGTTGAGGTTGTTGATCCAAAGGGGCCGTTGGGGCTTGATCTTAGGATGAACGGATCTTCAAGGGCTTCTGGGCTTAATCTTGAAGGATGAACGGATGTGTGGATTTGTTGAGGTTGTTGATCCAAAGGGGCCGTTGGGGCTTGATCTTAGAATGAACGGATGATGAGCGATGAACACTTTCTTCAAGGGCCGTCGGGGCTTGATCTTGAGTTGGTGGAAGTTCTTCAAGGGCCATCGGGGCTTGAATCTTGAAGAACGGATGATGAACGATGAACACTTTCCTCAAGGGCCGTCGGGGCTTGATCTTGAGTTGGTGGAAGTTCTTCAAGGGCCGTCGGGGCTTGATCTTGAATTGAACGGATGGATGATGAACACTTTCCTCAAGGGCCGTCGGGGCTTGATCTTGAGTTGGTGGAAGTTCTTCAAGGGCCGTCGGGGCTTGATCTTGAAGGTGGATGATGAACGATGAACACTTTCCTCCAGGGCCGTCGGGGCTTGATCTTGAATTGAACGGATGGATGATGAACACTTTCCTCAAGGGCCGTCGGGGCTTGATCTTGAGTTGGTGGAAGTTCTTCAAGGGCCGTCGGGGCTTGATCTTGAAGGTGGATGATGAACGATGAACACTTTCCTCCAGGGCCGTCAGGGCTTGATCTTGAAGGTGGAAGTTCTTCAAGGGCCGTCGGGGCTTGAATCTTGAAGAACGATTTGACGAAGAACGAAGAGTGCTTTCTTGATCCTTCGGGATTTGCTTGAGAGCTTTAGAGTTTCAAGGCTTCTTTCTTTCTTCCTTCCTTCTTTCTCCTTCTCCTCCCCCCCAAAATGAATGCCTTGGCCTCCTATTTATAGAATTCCAAAACTTGATTTTTGGATTTAAATAATCAGATGAAATAAATCATTTCTGCCAGGTATTGACACGTGTCATATTTGATGACTTTTCCAATTTATTTCGATTTTTCGTTGAATCACACGCTACATGTAAAATTTATGTGACACGTGAACGTTGAAATTTTAATTATTGGTCAACATTTATTTCACCGAAATTTTGATGTCTACAGCCGGCTTCGGAAAAGCATGA